CCACAGTCTCAGCAGTCTTCAAGCTGAATACATACACTCTCTGGCAACATAGGAGGATTCATTAGGATGTAAGAAAAAAAATGCCAGAAATTCTGTTTATATTTATTGTTATCTCATCCTTTTAAATTTCTATTTTGTAAATATTTTATAATGTCCCTAAATTAATACAATATGCATGAATGCAACTTATAAATAAGTAATTGTATATATATTGGGGTATTTGCTTGAATATTGAATACTATTTTTCAGATATTAGCACAAAGTGGGATTATTGTCAGAATTTGCACATTGCCTTTGTATAATGTACAAATCTTATTAACATTTTAGCCCTGATTTTCCTCTTCTCCTTTTTATTACATTTATTATCGACATATCTTACTTCTCAGATATATTTACATATATAGCTAACATGACAAATGTTGATTTTCTAACTAGAATACTTTTCATTTAACCCAGTTAGATTATCTATACACTTTTTAAAAATGTTTGAAACAATCTCATACTTATAGAAAAACTGCAAGTACAGCACAGATAACATTTTTTTTCCTGAATCATTTGAGTGTTAATTGCCAGCATGATGCACCATCACTTCTAATACTTTAGGGTGTATTTCCTACAAACAAGGATATTAGCCACAAAACAACTATTAAAATCAGGAAATTCACATTTAAAATTTCAGGCCATTCAAATTACTTTGAATCTTGAGTCTGCTAGTTATAATATTAACTACTCCTCTCAGTTAATAAGCATCTTTTCTATTTCTTTAGTCAAACCATGGATAATATTGATCACTGAGTTGTGCTGCTCCAGAAATTCCTCCCAGATTAGGAGTCCTCAACCAATTAATCAGGATTTTGTAGTTTTGAATAATTATAAGATTGGTCTTCAAGCTAGTTAATGCTGCCAAGTCAAAATCATTATCAAACCAAAGCTTTTTTCTAGATTTCAACCAGTATATTCATCCTTCCTGAAATAAAATAACTTCTTAGCATTCTTGATAGGCAGAAGAGACTAACAGAACAAATAACTGTGTTCTACATGATTGGCAGACACCGTCGCCACCTGATTCCAGGGTTCAGAAAATCTGTACCTTCAGCCAGCCTCACTGGTAGTAGAAGCTTTACCTACAGCCCAATTGGTGATATCAAATTTTGGAGAGGAGAGGGAGAACAACTTGGTTCCTGCCATTCATTATACATGCAGTAATACTGCTCAACTGAGCAAATTAATAAATAGTTAAAGTGAAAGTAAATAAATTAATCTAAACTTTAAATGGGTCTACCTCTTCAAGTGTTCCATGAAAGAGTTTACAAAGCCACAAATCTAGATTCCAGTGTAGAAACTCAGGACTTCTAGATTTAATGCTTGGGCAAGGCACTAAATTATTCTAATTACTCTCCTCCCCACCCCCATCGTCTTCATTTTTTTCTTTTTCCTTTTCTTTTTTTTTTTTTCATTAAATAGAACATCCATACCTGCTCCACACAGCGGTAGAGACCAGAGACGAGCATTATCAATGAAAATTCTTTTGTATTATATTAACTGAAGTATCATTGTTATCCCCAATTACAGTGCTGTCACACAGTGGAATTTCCATCATTTTATAATGAAAAAATCATGGGCAACTTCTCCAAATGCTATGTCATTCCTAAGCTATTTACCTAATGCTGATCCTTTTAAAAAGACAATGAAGCTAACTTGGCAGAACCTTTCTTTTTAACTTTGTCTACTTTGTTCTTTTTAAAATACTTACACACCATGTGCTTTAAAAAAATTATTCTCAAATTTTTCTGGGATCAACATGCATCTCACTATCCAGTTTACACATCCTTTCCTTCTTTAATCAGAAAGTTAGAACAGATTTGCTTCTCAAGACTTCTGGCATCTTTCCTCTGCTCCTTGATGTTTTCAAGAAGTACTAATATTAACTCTTAAGAAGAATAGAAAGAGTATCACACTTAGCCCCTGCTGTTTAAGAATCAGTTTCATAGCCTGGTGGGGCTGGTGGATGGTGCTGAGGAGAAAACCATAACTTCTCTACATCTCTATTTTCCCATTTATAAAGTGAACATAAAGAATTCGAATTCTCTGGCCAGGCGTGGTGGCTCATACCTGTAATCCCAGCATTTGGAAGGCCAAGGCAAGAGGATTGCCTGAGTCCAGGGACTCAAGACCAGCCTGGGTAACTAGGTGAGACTCTACAATTTAAAAAAAAAAAATCAAAAAATTAGCCAGATGTGGTAGCTCGTACCTATAGTTCCGGCTACTTGGAAGGCTAAGGAGGAAGGATCACTGGAGCCCAGCAGGTCAATGCTGGGGTGGCCGTGAGCATGCCACTGCACTCCAGCCTGGGTGACAGAGTGAGACTCTGACTCAAAAAAAAAAAAAAGGATCAGAATTCTCACTGCTGTAGTGAGGATTAAATACAAAATACAATAGCATATAAGAAAGAAAGTCTATAAATTATAGCACTTTATGCAAATGTTAGTAACACGATTCAGCCCTCTGAGATAATAATTGTAATAGTTGTCATTTTTTAAATGTACTCTCCTTACTAGACTGTGCCCTGTTCCAATGCTCACAGCAATCCAATATATATTATTATCTCTACTTTACAGATAAGGAAACTGAGAATCAGAGGGATTAAATACTGCCCAAAGTCACACAGATAATAAGCAGTGGTGCAAATTCAAACCCAAGTCTGCCTGAATCCAAAACCTGTGTCTATAACCCACACCCTGGATTCTACCCTAAATTCCCTTCCATTCAGCCCAGAGGTTGGAACTCATTTAGGCAGGCACAGCCCTGAAAATCTCTCCTTTGTTATAAACTGCTGCCAAAACATTATGTTACTGGTTCTAAATTTTCTAATATAAAAATGATTCTACTCCCTGGAGAAGACAGAAATCACATAGTTGATTAATAGCTCTGAACTCTTATGTATCTGTGAATGCTACACTGTCTTCTGAAAGCAGAAAAACTCTTCTTTCATTCTTTTTTTTTTCTGCAAACATTTCCTGTATTTACTGTTGTTCAGAAATCTCTATTTCTTTTCTTTTGCCACGAGGTAAGAAAATGACCAATTTAATTAGAAATGCATAAATTGGTTAGCCTTTCAATGAGTTGAATAGACATCCTGATCAAGTACATTTTCTGCAAAAGATAATTATTTAGTTAATAACCCATCCCTATGAATCCTTCCCAAAACTTTTATCCATACAGATTTCTCCCTTTTTCATTTTCTCCAAGTTTCCATTAATAGGTGTTACCAATTTGTCTTGTACTTTAACAAAGTTAGTTGTTTCACAAATTAGTATTTTAGATCCTGAAATGGTTAAAAAATTATCAAGGATAGTAACAATGCTTTCTAAATTTAGTGCTTACCATGTTTATGAATTGCTTATTTCTTTGAGTGCTTATAACGTTTTAAATTACCACAACCATGATTATTGTGAAACTTTGTCAGCTAAGTGATCAGCAAAGTAGACAGGTTTCATATGAATGCTTCTTTGCAATAGTGACAATATCACTTTAGCTCCCTCAAAAAAATCTGTGTGACCACAATTAATACTTCAAAAGAACTCATGGTTTCAATACTCCATCATTAGAACATTAAAAATAAATTGAACTATTCATTCAAGGTATGTATAACATTTTGGTCATTCAGGTTAAACCACTGTGACAAAAAGTTGTCTATGACCTCTATATTCCTCTATATATTTTAATTCAAAGAATATCTACATTTTTACCCTGACAATTTTCTGCAACCTTCATTTTCCTAGAATTCCTATTTTTCCATTTTAAAAGTCTTTTTGAACTTACGTAATAACTGCAGAATCAATCATGTTTAAAATGTCATGAACTAACAGGAATATCCTGACCCAACTGAAAATCCATACACTTGTGTGATGATAACCACCAGCAAAAAACCCTTGGAAAAATATCTTTGGCAAAAGAAAAATTTAAGAAATGAACATTAATTCATTTTAATATATCAGATAGGGTTACCATGTTTTCCTAGATTATAAGTGGGCAGACTCGGTGGCTCATCCTGTAATCCCAGCACTTTGGGAGGCCAAGGTGAGTGGATTGCCTGAGCCCACGGGTTCGAGACCAACCAGGGCAACTTGGCGAGACCTCATTTTTACAAAAATTTAAAAAAAAAATTAGCCAAGCATAGTAGCACATGCCTGTAGTCCCGGCTACTTGGAAGGCTGAGGTAGAAGTATCGCCTGAGCCCAGCAGATCAATACTGGGTGCACTCCAGCCTGGGTGACGGAGTGAGACCCCGACTCAAAAAATATATGTATATATATTATATTATAAGTGATTGCAATTTTTTTAAAGGAGACATTGTGGGAAATCTGCATAAGGACTCACTGCCTGCTATTTTTGGAAAAATGTATTTTTAGCATTAGTTGAAACTTTTATTCCGAAAGGGTTTTTCAACAATAATGTATTGTGTAGTCATAAACCTTCTCGTTCTCTTTTTTACAATATAACAAGTTGGGAACTAATTGTAAAATATTGTTTGGCAATCAAACAGGATATTTTTTGTGTAATTTTTGCATGTATTTTTAGTACTTCAGAGTTAGCTTGAAATAAATGATCTTAGGAAATCGTTTAGGAGCTAATGATTTAAGAGGTTTCTAGATTAACATCAATAATAATAATATTCTGATTCTACATATCCTTTTTATCTTGTTAGTTTTCTATCATGTAATTAGAGATTAAGTTCTATTCAAATTAATTTTGTTATAAGAACTTTTAAAATACTTTGATATAAGTGGTAAGACCTTAGTTTCAAAAGTACTAATTTTGATTCAAATGCATTTCATATGTTAAAGATAAAGCTAATTAGAGTAAGACTTCTGAGTCAAGAGTAGAAAGGGGTAAAGTTTATCTTCATGGAAGCATTATTTAGTTTAGGAGTCATTGTCCCTTGTAGAATATCATTTTTATCCTGCCCTGACAACAAAATGTTTTCTCTTTTTCTCAAGGTATCAGATACACACCGGACTTCAACATTCTATCATAAGACCCACTCAACCCAACTGCTTACCTCTGGACAATGCAACCCTACCTCAAAAGCTGAAGGAGGTTGGATATTCAACGCATATGGTTGGAAAATGGCATTTGGGCTTTTACAAAAAAGAGTGCATGCCCACCAAGAGAGGATTTGATACCTTTTTTGGTTCCCTTTTGGGAAGTGGCGATTACTATACACACTATAAATGTGACAGTCCTGGGATGTGTGGCTATGACTTGTACGAAAATGACAATGCTGCCTGGGACTATGACAATGGCATCTATTCCACACAGATGTACACTCAGAGAGTCCAGCAAATCTTGGCTTCCCATAACCCCACAAAGCCTATATTTTTATATATTGCCTACCAAGCTGTTCACTCACCACTGCAAGCCCCTGGCAGGTATTTTGAACACTACCGATCTATTATCAACATAAACAGGCGGAGGTATGCTGCCATGCTTTCCTGCTTAGACGAAGCAATCAACAATGTGACCCTGGCTCTAAAGACATATGGCTTCTATAACAACAGCATTATCATTTACTCTTCAGATAATGGTGGCCAACCCACAGCAGGAGGAAGTAACTGGCCTCTCAGAGGTAGCAAAGGAACATATTGGGAAGGGGGGATCCGGGCTGTTGGCTTTGTGCATAGTCCACTTCTGAAAAACAAGGGGACGGTGTGTAAGGAACTTGTGCACATCACCGACTGGTACCCCACTCTGATTTCACTGGCTGAAGGACAGATTGATGAGGATATTCAACTAGATGGCTATGACATCTGGGAGACCATAAGTGAAGGCCTTCGTTCTCCCCGAATGGATATTCTGCACAACATTGACCCCATTTACACCAAGGCGAAAAATGGCTCCTGGGCAGCAGGCTATGGGATCTGGAACACCGCAATCCAGTCAGCCATCAGGGTGCAGCACTGGAAATTGCTTACAGGAAATCCTGGCTACAGCGAATGGGTTCCCCCTCAGTCTTTTAGCAACCTGGGGCCAAACCGGTGGCACAATGAACGGATTACCTTGTCAACTGGCAAAAGTGTATGGCTTTTCAACATCACAGCTGACCCATATGAGAGGGTGGACCTATCTCACAGGTATCCTGGAATCGTGAAGCAGCTTCTGCGGAGGCTCTCACAGTTCAACAAAACTGCAGTGCCAGTTAGGTATCCCCCCAAAGACCCCAGAAGTAACCCTCGGCTCAATGGAGGAGTCTGGGGACCATGGTATAAAGAGGAAAACAAGAAAAAGAAGCCAAGCAAATGCAAGGCTGAGAAAAAGCCAAAGAAAAATAAGATAAAGAAGAAGAAACAGCAGAAAGCCGGCTCAGTTCCAAACTGCCATTCAAGTGATACTCGTGGATAAGTACGAATAATTCTAGTTTGGTTAAACTTAAATCAGTTCTTATCTTTTGGCTGTTATCTGGGAAAACCAGCACATTTGGCTCAATGATAGCTGTGCCATAAGCATCAGGCTTATTTTCATGCTGTGCCACTCCAGAGACTTCTGCCACCTGGCCACCACATGAAGACTGTTGCTGGTTGACAAAGGTGCTACCTCTTGTGAGCCATGCTTAGAAGAGTATGGTGATGTTTATTTCTCTTGCTTTTTTCTAAAAGGTGATCAGTCATGAGTTCAACTGCTGTGCTTCAGTCAAGTGACCAAACTCTATGTTTTAAATTATAGGAGGGGATTATAACCCGCAATCGACAAGCATGCTAATTTGATGGAATTTACAGGGTAGCATGAGTAAAACTGCCTTTGATAAAATATAGTCAAAGGTTGTATCACCTCAAAGACCTTGAAGAATATATTTTCTTAGTGAATTTTTGTATCTCTGTCATATGACACTTGGGTTTTTAAATTCTATTTCATCCTTATTCTTTCCTGTGAAAATCAGCTGTTTTTCTCACATGTGAACAGCTTGCACCTCATTTTATCACGCATGAGGGAATGGCAAATAATAATGTTTGAGCACACTGCCAACAATGAATGTAACTATTTCCTAAACACTTTAATAGAATAACATGTCAGTATAAAGTACCTAATTTATTTTTACAGAAAAATATTAATTATTTTGTTTTGATAAAAAGTTATGCAAATGACTTAATTATTTTATTTTTTATTTTCTGCATACCATTAGAAGAATTTTATTTCATTTTTTCAAGATTACCAAGCACTGTAATATTACAAATTACTGTAATACTGAGTGAATTTACTGAGACTGTAAAAAGAAAATTATTCAGAAATCATTACAATCGTCATTGTTCAACCTTTATTTTGAATGTAATAAGATGAATATATTCCTTACAAATTACTTGGAAGTTCAGTGTTTGTGCAGAGTTGAGATGACTTTATTGTTTCTATCATAAACTATTTATGTATCTTAATTATTAAAATGATTTATTTTATGGCAATAGCAAATTGTGGTTTTTATGATATAACTTTTAAATAAAATAATATTATTCACCTTAACAAAAAGAAATATTTATTATTAGACCATTGAAGTTATGGTTGTGACAATCATAGTAATATAATATGATTTTACAAATAAGCCATGCTACCACTTGTTACTGCATGGAGAAAAATGTTTACTTAATAAATAGCATTTCTTTTTTTTTATAATCAATATTTTTTTAATGATTTTGTGGGGTACAGTTAAGGGTTAGGTGTACAATTACGTTTCATTCAGGCACCCTGTTGATAAGAGGTGTTTCCCAAGCCGGGCTCGGTGGCTCAGCCTGTAATCCCGCGCCTTTGGGAGGCTGAGGTGAGTGGATTGCCTGAACCCGTGGGTTCAAGACCGCCTGGGCAGCAAGACCTCATCTCTACAATAAATCAAAAAATCAGCCGGGGGGTGGTAGTGCGTGACTGTAATTCCGGCTACTCGGAGGCTGAGGCAGAAGGATCGCTGGAGCCCAGCAGGTCGAGGCTGCGGTGGCTGGGAGCAGCCACTGCACTCCAGTCTGGGCGACAGAGTAAGACTCCAACTCAAAAAAACCCAAAAACAAACAAGAGGTGTTTCCCCATCCCCAGACAGATATTTGCGACTGTTAATACCATCCCCCTTCCCCCCCATAGTTTCCCAGTACCGTCAGTCATTTTCTTATAGTATTACATTGGATGTTCAAGGTCCATCATATGAATGAGAACATGTGATACTCGGATCTTTGTTTCTGTGAGAGGTCACTCAGGATTATAGACTCTAGTTCCATCCAGGTTGCTGCAAAATTCATGATTTTGTTCTTTTTTATGACTGCGTAGTATTCCATCATGGATATGTACCACATTTTTTAAATCCAGTCCTCTTTTGATGGGCAGCATGGTTGTTTCCAGGTTCTTGCTATTGTGAACAATGCTGTGATAAACATACGTGCACAGGTATCTTTTTTATAGAGTGATTTGAGGTCTTCAGGGTATATTCCCAGTATGGGGATTGCAGGGTCTTATGGAAGGTCGATTTTTAGAGCTTTTAGGAATTGCCACACTGCTTTCCACAGAGGTTGCACTAGTTTACACTCCCACCAACAGTGTAGAAGCGTTCCCTTTTCACCACACCCTCTCCAGCAGCTGTTATTTTTTGAGTTGTTGATAATTGCCATTCTGACTGGAGTTAGGTGGTATCTCAGTGTGGTTTTGATTTGCATCTCCCTGATGATTAGTGAGGTGGAGCATTTCTTCATGTGTTTGTTGGCTGCTTGGATGTCTTCTTTTGTGAAATGTCTGTTCATACCTTTTGCTCATTTTATAATGGGGTTGTTTGTTTTTTTTCTTTTCAGCACGTTTGAGTTCCTTGTAGATCCAGGAT